TTTTGCTGAGCGAAAGTGCGATCTCCCGTTTCCCCTTGGACACCTTTGGACCTTCAAAAAAAGACTGCGTTGACCGGAAATACTTATTTTAAAAAATTGCGGGTTGGACAAGTTTTGGCCTGGTTTTTTTTCCGACCGTTTCCGACCGTTTCCGACTGTTTCCGACCGTTTCCGACCGTTTCCATTTTTCTGAACGATTAATTAATTGGACCAATTCCGTTTATGGAAGGTTGATCCAGTGCAAACCGATGCAAACCATGACGCTGAAGTTTTTTCGTGCGACCCTTGCGCGCGTAGACTGCACCAAATATTGCATCTTGACCTTGATATCTCATATTCCCTAAAATCCCAAATCCCAGGAGCTCGTGAAATTTGATAGCTTGGTGCCAGTGTTGTAACGGTGCTGCATGCAAACTTGGCAAATGCATGCAAAGAGATGCGCGCTGGGATAGAAACTCTGCGAAAACATGTTCCGTGGATGGTGGATGTTTTGCGAGCTCAGTGGACGCGTCGATAGTGTGGAAGTGGCAAGTCTGAAGTTGTTGTTGAGGTCAAACACTACCAGTTCGCACAAACAACCTGTAGATATTTGCAGTGTATGCGCATCAAAGAAAAGGTTTGTACGAAGCATTGCGGTCATCCTTGAACCAGGAAAAAACAATACCAATCAACGAACCCGAATGCAGTCACGTAAAACACTTTTGTGAAACAACATATTTCAACAGTCTTTTAAATTATTCCCCTGTTCCTGTACAAGTGTAGACTGCGAAGTATGGAATGATATGGACTGGGATGGAGTGCAAAGTGTGGAGTGTGAAGATGGTGAAGTGTTGAGCGGGGAATGTAGCGTGTAGAATGTGAAGTCGGGATTGTGGTGTGTGAAGTGTAAAGTGTAGAGATGTGTAGAGTGTAGAGTATAAAGTGTGAGGTGTGAAATGTAAAGTGTAGAGTGTGGAGTGTGAAGTGTAAAGTGTAAGGTGTGGGGTGTAAAGTGTAGAGTGCGCAGTGTAAAGTGTAAGGTGTGAAGCGTGCAGTGCAAAGTGCAAACTGTGGAGTGTCAAGTGCAAAGTGTGGAGTGTCAAGTGTAAAGTGTGGAGTGTAGAGTGTAGAGTGTGTACCGTAAACTGCGAGGTGTAAAGTGTAAAGTGTAGAGTGCGAAGTGTAAAGTGTAAAGTGTGGAGTGTAAAGTGTAAAGTGTAGAGTGCGGAGTGTAAAGTGTGTAAGGTGTGGTGCGCACTGTAAAGTGTGGAGTGTCAAGTGTAAGTGTAAAGTGTAGAGTGTGGAGTGTACCTGAGAAGGGGGGAACGAAAGCCAGCTCTCATAATGAAAACCCCTGCGCGCAGCAAATTGCGTGTAAGACCTTCAACATTGAAATCCTCCAGTTCTGGCGTAGCCCTAACTGCACAGAAAGGTTTGAGGCAGACATCCTGAAACTCTGTTGGTGGCTTACGTATCTTCAGCCTCTTGAACAATATATTTTTCTCCATCTATTTGTTTCACTGGCTAGAAACCGGACTGAGGGTGGACCATACCCTATTGCAGCAAACTTCCTGCGCAGAACACCTTCAAAACTGGAGTTCTTCTGTTGGAGCAAGCAGGTAAGCATCACAGCTGAAAGCATTAGACTTCCTGCGCGGAACACCTTCAAAATTGGAGTTCTCCAGCTGCAGCAAACCCGCAAGTCCATATACGCCCAACATGGTCCCGACATGATCCAAAAACGGCGTGTTCCTTTTGGGCCGGGTAAAGGCTCAAAAGGAACACGCCGTTCTTGGCTTAACATAAGCTCAACATGGCACGAGTATGGCCCCAACTTGGCATCTAAGAGCCCAACATGGACCAACATAAGCCTAACATAGGCCCCACATAGGCCTAACACGGCTTAACATGACCGTGACCTAAACATGTAGACTCTAGATTTGGTTCTTGGTACCTGCTTCCATATCCATTGGTACGCCGCACGATGATAGCGTTCTGTACTTCGCAAAAGTACCCATTTATTTTCCACGGCCCCAGATGATCCCAGTTGTACCAATGTGTATGTCAGAAACAGATGACGTGACGGTCCACGGTATGCAAAAGATATCGCATGTGACTTTTCCACAGCAGAGCTGCCAAAGGCCAACAGGAAAGGTCCTGCCCTGATACAGTTCTGTTAGACTGCAGCACCTGCTGATCATTGCATCTGTAATCTTTTTCTTGACAAAATATGAAATCGGTTACGCATGCGTTCTTCAAGGCCGGCTTTGATTCTGCCGCTTCACACTTAGCATTACATCTGTCATGTTCGTTGTTCTCACCATATGCGGACGCCTTTATCCTCTTGTCCATGTCTCCATCTCACTTCAATCTAGCTCTCTAGCTGTCATCCGCTTGTAGCCAAAGACAGATGACGGGACGGTCAGCGTTCAGCAAAACACATCGCATTTGCCGCTGTCTCTTAAGCGCAGCCTGGATAGTAGCCGCCCGTCTCTACTGTCCCTTCTCCCACTCAAAGTCTGCAAGTCTGCAAGCATAACTGCCAACTGCCAGCACAAAACACGGTCTCCCAAGCAGACGGAACGGCATAGCTCTATGTCAGCTTGTCATTGAAGCCTGCTGCCAACAAAGTTCTTTGACCTCTGTCCCTCTATCTAAATACATACCAACCTATCTGTCCAGCCATCCGTCAATCCATCCATGTATCAACCTAACTCTCACCCTCTCCCTCTCCCTCTCCCTGCCTCCCACCCTCCCTCCCTCACTCCCTCCCTCCCTCCCTCTCTCTCTCTTTCTCTTTCTCCATGCACCAAAAATGCATCTATGTAGCTATGCTCGATCTATCCGTCCATCCATCCACCCATGTAATCCAACCAGCCATCCGTCGCAACCGTTCTATCTATCAATCTTTCTATTTACCTCTCTATGTATCTATCTAGCTATCTAGCTATCTATCTGTTTATCTATCTATTTATCGATCGATCGATCTATCTGTCGACCTAGCTATCGATAAATTCCCTCTCTCGATCTACTCTCCATCTATCTATCTATCTATCTGTCTATCTAGCTATCGATCTATCGATCTATCGATCTATCCATCTATCCATCTATTCATCTATCCATCTATCCATCTATCCATCTACCTACCTATCTATCTATCTATCTAATTAATCTATCCAATCTATCTACTATATCTAATCTATCTTATCTATCTTATCTATCTGTCTATCTATATTATCTGTATTATCTATCTTATCTATCTTATCTATCTTATCTATCTAATCTATCTAATCTATCTTATCTATCTTATCTATCTTATCTATCTAATCTATCTAATCTATCTAATTTATCTAAACTATCTTATCTATCTAATCTACCTATTCTATCTTATCTATCTTATCTATCTATCTTTCTATCTATCTAATCTATCTCATCTATATTTTCTATCTTATCTATCTTATCTATCTAATCTATCTAATCTATCTAATCTATCTAATCTATCTAATCTATCCAATCTATCTAGTCTATCTAATCTATCGAATCTATCGAATCTATCGAATCTATCTAATCTATCTAATCCATCTAATCTATCTAATCTATCTAATCCATCTAACCTATCTAATCTATCTAATTTATCTAATCTATCTAATCGATCTCACATCTATCTATCTTTCTATCTATCTATCTATCTATCTCTCTATCCATCTTTCTTTCAATCAATCTATCTATCTGTCTATCTACCTATCCATCTATCTACCTATCTACCTATCTATCTATCTATCTAACTATCTATCTATCTATCTATCTTATCTATCTTATCTATCTTATCTATCTCATCTATCATATTTATCTTGTCTATCATATCTATCATCTCTATCTTATCTATCTTATCTATCTTATCTATCTTATCTATCTAATCTATCTATCTCTATCTCTATCTATCTATCTATCTCTATCTACCTACCTCTATCTATTGATCTATCTATCTGTCTATCTATCTATCTATCCACCTATCTATTCTATCTAATCTATCTAATCTATCTATCTAACTATCTATCTACCTATCTACCTATCTATCTATCTACCTATCTACCCATCCATCTATCTATCTATCTTATCTATCTTATCTATCTTATCTACCTTATCTATCTTATCTATCTTATCTATCTTGTCTTATCTGTCTTATCTGTCTTATCTGTCTTATCTGTCTTATCTATCTTATCTATCTTATCTTTCTTATGTTTCTTACCTTTCTCATCTTTCTTATCTATCTTATCTATCTAATCTATCTACTCTATCTAATCCTAATCTATCTAACCTATCTAATCTATCTAATCTATCTAATCCTAATCTATCTAATCTATCTAATCTATCTAATCTATCAGATCTATCTAATCTATCTAATCTATCTTATCTGTCTTATCTATCTTCAATGGAAATTCCAGGATCCTAAAATGGAGGTACTGTACCATATAAGGCCATATTTTGTGGGGATATTCCCTTACATAGGCCTTAAATAGGCCTTATATAGGCCTTATATATGGCAGGTACCTCCAATTTAGGTTCCTGAAATGGCCATTGATATCTATCTATCTAATCTATCTTATCTATCTAATCTATCTAATCTATCTAATCTATCTCATCTATCTCATCTATCTCATCTATCTCATCTATCTCATCTATCTCATCTATCTCATCTATCTATCTATCTATCTATCTATCTATCTTATCTATCTTATCTATCTCATCTATCTCATCTATCTTATCTATCTTATCTATCTTATCTATCTTATCTATCTTATCTATCTTATCTATCTTATCTATCTTATCTATCGTATCTATCGTATCTATCTTATCTATCTTATCTATCTATCTAATCTATCTAATCTATCTAATCTATCTAATCTATCTAATCTATCTAATCTATCTATCTATCTAATCTATCTAATCTATCTAATCTATCTAATCTATCTAATCTATCTAATCTATCTAATCTATCTAATCTATCTAATCTATCTAATCTATCTAATCTATCTAATCTATCTAATCTATCTAATCTATCAAATCTATCTAATCTATCTAATCTATCTAATCTATCTAATCTATCTAATCTATCTAATCTATCTAATCTATCTAATCTATCTAATCTATCTAATCTATCTAATCTATCTAATCTATCTAATCTATCTAAATCTATCTAATCTATAATATAATCTATCTAATCTATCTAATCTATCTAATCTATCTAATCTATCTAATCTATCTAATCTATCTAATCTATCTAATCTATCTATTCTATCTAATCTATCTCTTCTATCTATCTATCTATCTATCTATCTATCTATCTATCTATCTATCTAGCCATCTATTGAGCTCTACGCGTCTATCTATCCATCAATCTATCTGTCCATCCATCCATCGAGCTGTCTATCTCTCACTCTCTCCACCTCTCCGTGTCTCATGTCTAGCGATCTATCCCTCCATCCATCTACCGATTTATCTTTTCACCTGCTTACACATCTATCTATCTGTGTATCTATCTGCCTATCTATTGATCTATTTGTCTACTTATTTAGCCCGAATATTTGCCTACCTATTTAGCCCCAACGGACCAGGGGGGAAGGGATACCCCACCGTCACCCATTTGCGAGCTGGGACATTATACCCTGCAAAACACTCCCAAGTCACACCCTGAACACCACCAAACTGGAAAAGTGGCCCGTGCGGCAACACCTCCCCAAGACCCCTATTCTCTCACTACGTTCGCAAAAAACAACTTGCCAGCTTGTCCGGCTGGCTTTCGTAAAAGTGTGGAGTGTAAAGTGTGGAGTAAAAAGTGTGGAGTGGAAAGTGTAAAGTGTAGAGTGCAAAGTGTGGAGTGTAAAGTGTGGAGTGTAAAGTGTAAAGTGTGGAGTGTGGAGGGTAAAGTGTAAAGTGTGGAGTGTAGAGTGTGGACAGTGGACTGTGAAATGTTCAGTGTAAGGCAAGCTAAGTGCGGAAAGTGTGGAAGGTAGTGGGGGGGTCGGGTCTAGAGTGACAAGCTGCAACATCACCCAATAACATCGCACCTCGCGCAGCCGTGCCAATGCAGAAAGCGGCAATAGCAATCACCAAGGTGCCCAAATACTGCGCCTGCCACGCAAAATGACATTCCACATGTCCGCATACGACATCACCAAATGTCCCATGCCTGCAATGCGATTGGCACGTTGTCACCGCTTGACGCAGCCCTCACAATGCGAATCGCAAAAACACGCAACACGGCACGTCTAAAGCGCTGCGCCTGCCACGCAAAATGATGATGGAAGTCTCCAAAGTGGTGCCTGCCACGAAATGCACGACAGTGCAAATCATCTTCTGAAAACCCTGCAACAGTATTGTGCCAGTCGCACGCAACGACTTTTGACACTTTATCAGACGCGTGAGAATGTCACGAAGCGCCACGCTTGCCATGCAAAACGACATCACAACATATCACAACCTACGCGTTTTCCTAATGAACCCCAAAATTTGAGACCTCAAAAACGATGTGAGGCCTCCGTCAATTTTCATCACATGTCACAAAATGCCACGCCTGCCACGGAATTTGCGGGTTGTCATGACGCAGCCCTGACAATGCGAGTCGCCAAAAACACTACGCCACACGACACGTCTGAACTGCTGCGCTTGCTACACGCAAAATGAAAATGGAGGTCTCCAAAGTGCTACGCCTGCCACGAACAATGCAAGTCATCTTCTGAAACCATGCGATTGCGCCTGCCACACGGAACGGCTTTTGACACGTTATGAAACATGTTGGGATGTCACGAAGTGCCACGCCTGCCACACGAAACGACGTTGCCCGACGTTGGAAACCTCCATTAATTAAAAGTGACCACTTTTGCAGAGGCACGGCCAGAGCGACCCCAACGCGAACGGTTGCAGACGGTTGCGGACGGTTGCGGGTGGTTGCGGATGTGAAAGCGGCGTCGAGCGAACACGTCCCAACCCCCAGGACCCCAGGCCCCCAGGCCCCCAAAGTAAAACGAGAACCCTTCGCTACGCATTCGGGAAAATCCACATGTAAAAAGGGTTATATATATATATATATATATGCACACATATGTCTACTATTATTATTATTATACTATATAATAATTTTATACTTGGATATCCTGGGGGTGCGCATCTTTGATTCTTCCCAACTTATCCCCAGCTCTTGGATCCAAGGTAGGCAAGGCGACCAAGAAACCGCATATAGAAGGTCTTGAGCCAGTTCACTTCTTTGCGACAGTTGTCCAATGAGGAATACCTTGCAGTATCTTGGGCGCTTCATGACACTTTAGGACGCTTCAGGACACTTCAGGACACTTCATCATATTAGTGAGTGATTGTTTTCTGACTGGTCATGTTGTGCCATGTCAACTGAAGTCCCTATGTGCAAAGAGATGGCAACGCTGGAACCTTTCATTGCCAGGCATGATCCCAGGGGTCTCGCGGCGTCTCGCGTTACTGAGGGCCCTACGTGGACTTGGAGGATCCGTAGTCACTCCTTGGTTCTACACTGCTACAGCAGCAACATGGTTATGCAGCGTTCGTGCAGTGCTCTCATGTGTTCTCAATCCGTTCAATTTGTCATAATTTGTCAAATGGATGCGAGTGGGCTCTCACACTGCCAAAGGCATCGAAAGGCTAAGACAATGCTCTACATATAGCCATATTGACATGCTTCTCTGGCTCTTGTTTGTGTGCTGTTATTCGCTGGGTTTCGGCATCTCTGACTGCTTTTCCAACTGAGAAATTGAAGAAACAGAAACAAACACCAAGCAAAAGAAGCCCCTTTCTGCAGCTGTCCTGCTGGCATGGATTCTTTCAGCCCAAACACTGACGGGCCTGCTCACCCTCCTACAATCCATCAATTTCTGTCACATTATGAGAAAGCTTAGCTAACATGATCCGAGATTCATACGTGCAGAACGTACGGCATGCAAACGCTGCGCCTGGATTGTGAGCGCCACACACTTGGACCTGCAGAAAAGCCAGTTAGGTCGGCACATCTTGGGACTTCTGGAGGGTCTGGAGTCAGGATATAAAAGAGTGTCTGAGCGCAGTCCCCTGTGATGAAATTGACTTGTATTGTCTCGCAGTATTACATGTAAGCGTGTCAAAGTGACAGCTTTTGGTACCACTGTGGATTGACAATACCTGCGTCATGGTCTCTGTGTCAGGCCCAAGCAGCTGGAGAGAAGGATCAAACAGCTGCTCGGGCGGATCTTCATCAGGGATAACGGGGTAGTTGGCCACCTTGAAGCCTCTTTGGGCCAAGAAGAACCTGAGATTTTCAGAGGCCCAACAGATCCCACGGAGGTGGCAGGATTGGGTCATTGGACCTACTTGGCACATCAATGGACTGGCGCACGCGGTTCAGGGTTGCAAAATATTGCGAAGACTGCGACAGATTTTCTTGCGGTATGATCCTTTCACAAAATGTACTTGTCCCCTTCCATGACAGTACTGTGGCAAGTCTTCATAGTTGAATACGCAATGCAAAAAAACCTTTGCACAGCCTCCCGTCTCTTGTGCGAACAGCTGGTCTCTAGTCTGAAGAGGTGGCATAGATATGCAGAGATGGTCTTCTGTGAGCCTTTGCAAGACTTCCAAAGCTGAGGCCAACCACGCTAGCGGCGTTTTGCCAGATCGTGAGAGCCCAATGAGAATGAGATCCTGTGGTGTTGTAGGTGAAACCGAGGACGAACCCGCAACACGATCTTCACAGCAACTGCCCCACAAGCAGAATCAACACGGGACTTCTAGCTTACAGAAAACTGAAAATTGAAACTTGGAATGGCGAAGTGCACTATGAAACATTTTGGACTGCCAACTGCTAACATTCAATGTTTCAAAGACAAGTTGCTGCTTCATTCCAAAGCTCTGGCTGTCTGCCATCATCGAGCTTCCTAGTGAACTCGATAGCCTGTGCAAGTATTTGAAGCGTGAAGAATCATAAAAACGAACCGGAAAAAAATGGCAACGCATTCTCCGAAACATTCTCTGAAAAGGAACGCCTGTGGATGGTGACCTGATCCCATGATCTGAGATCGCAATGGTCATATGGGGATTCCGATCGGATCCAAGGACGTACCAGTGAGTGGCTGCCTTCACCTATGGTGAAAATTGCACGCACCCATGTTTCTTAGATTCTTGAAATTTCTTGGCCGGTCCGTCATCCGATCATTTCATTCTGCGTGAATCACCAGGATCATCATAGACTTCCTTAGCCAAGACTATGATTCAAGGTCTACAGGCCTCAACCATGTTGATGCACTCTTCAGAAAGGCGTGATCTCATTGTAGCTCGGACCTGCGCAGCCGCATAGGATCATTCCTTGACCATTTCACATTATAACAAAAACATTTGTATTTTATAGTTATAGAGGCAGGAAGGCAACATTAAAGGCACACAACGGCACATTTTCTGCATATAATACTACACAAAACTACATAATATTACATAACATCAAGTAATTAATATCACATAACATTACATGTAAATGTATATGTAGTATATACTTGTATATTATAAAGAAAATATACATGCATCCATATCATCCTGGGAAAGAACATTTTTTTTGCGCGCATGATTACAGGCTTCGCGGCTTCTTTTTTGTTCATGAAGTGCTTGTTCCCAAACTACTGGAACAAACGGCTTTAATATGCCGTTATCCTTTATTCACATGTCCATGTGGTTTGGCTGAAATCTTGGGTGTGTCAGGCTGTCGTGATCGGGGTGTCCGATAGATGGGCATGCTGTGGCTGATGCTGAAATACACATAATCAATATTGGGCAGTCGCAAATTTGGGGTGATTTTTAGGGCCAATTGGGGCTATTCACAACCCCCATCTGAATCATTGTGGAACCCGATTGCAGCTGGAGCAGCTGGCCAAAGACCAGAATACAATGTGGACAAAAGATGTTCGCTGCAAACCCCGCGTTTGCCCGTGATGGATCCCGCATATCATTTAACATGCTCAAATCCCTGCATAGGGCTAGCATTTTTTTAAGCTGTCCAAGACAGCAAACCCTAAAATCCCGAACCTTAAACCCTAAAACTCCGAACCCTAGAAATCAAACTCCTGAAAACCTAAAGGCAAAATCGATGCGTATAGCCCGTGTTTTCAATTCATCCTTTCGCGACAAATATATAATAACTTATATTGTCTGGGTGTATTCTTGGGGCATGGGCGTGGAGGGAAGGTGTTCAAAACACGTAATACGGTTCCCGTACACGTGGAATTATTATTGTTACACTTGACCTGAAGACTGGACCATGAGGAAACTCCAGGGGTTGGGAATGGAGGAAATATACGAGATGTTTTGCCAATGTAGCTGACTGATTGACGCTGTTCACTGTCTGAAGCTGTGGCTTCTGCCCAGCCTCTGTGTTTCGAGGGATGCCAAGCAAATCCTCCATGGACGCCAAGAGTGGTTCCCACAAATCAACTGCGCGAAGCCTCGCAAACAAACAAAATTCCAACGTGAGCCAGCGAGTCATCAAACAAATATCAAAGCACTCTCTTTGGATCTCTGTGGGACCTTGCTGGGCAGCAATTCTTGGGTGTCCTTTAATTTTGAAGACTCAAATGTTATGCACTTGAACCTGCCACATACAAAATATATATAGATATATAAATGTATATATATATATATATTAACTAATTATTAATATATATATATATTAATTATATATATATATTAATTGTATATATATATATATGTTACTTTTAAATATAAACTATATATATATATATGTATATAAATATATATATATCCATATGCATATGTTTATCCGCCGACCCCAGCCTGCAGCAGGGGGAGCGCGTCAGAGAACACCTTCCAAGAAAGGTGCTTTTTCCCGACCTGGCAGTTGCCCTTGGCGCTCTTCCGAGACCGTTCAGAAAGCAACGTTAGGCCTTCAGACCGGGCAGCGGCGCGAAGCCTTCCATCCTTCACGCCATGCTGTTAAAGCGCGGCGAAGAATGCTTTTTCCCGAACTGGCGGCTGCTCTATCTGCTCTTAGCATTCTTAAGATAAGAGGCTAGGACTCTCTCATTGCATCTCACAAGTTGGTCTTCTGTCAACAGGGGTCGGCGGAAGTGGGCGGTAGCCCTTTAAATCCGGCCAGGGGGCCCGATGGCCCCGCGGCCGTGCATTCTTTTTTTTTTTCCGTAGGAGAGAGGGGCTCCCGCCCCTGCCGTCGACGCTGCCCCGCTGGGCGCCGACCCTACAAACATACCGCGATTTACAGTGTTTTGTGGCTTTGCCATTTTTTTCGACCCAACATACGCCCTAAAACGCGCGCAAGCTGGCCCAACATAGCCCCCAGATGGCCCAACCTGGGCCACAAGCTGGCCCCACATGGCCCCAAGATAGGCCAACATAGCCCCAAGATGGGCCAACATAGCTCAAAGACGGGCCAACATAGCCCCCAAGACGGCTCCAAGCTGGTCGAAGAGGTGCCAACATACTGTAGCCGCAAGCTGGGCCAACCTCGCCCCAAGATGCGCCTACTACAGACTTGATCATCCTTTACCCTCAAGTGGGCCCCTGGCCGGCTGTCAGGCGTAAGCCCTTAAATCAGGCGATGCCGCGCCATGCGTGTGTGTGTGTGTGTGTGCGTGCGTGTGTGTGTGTGTGTGTGGGTGCGTGCATGCGTGCGTGCGTGCGTGCGTGTGTGTTTGTGTTTGTGTGTGTAACATTTGAACAGATGTAAAACTTCTACTCTTGCAGGGGGCCCATGGGCACTTGGATGGCATGGGCCAACGAAGACCCATCCAAGTTGCTGTGCAAACGTACCTGCAATTTTATTTTCCGATCGACATGGCACGGGGCTAAGCCGAGAACCCCTCCACGAAAAGTCTTTGCATGTTATGGGATTCAGTTTCCGACGGATCGCTGCAATGATCCAGTTCTTGTCTAGTGTGATTTCCTTGGTGACTCCGACATGGTGCCATGGAGCCAATTGAGGGAACCTTTCTTAAGGTGAATGCGGACTGATTTGACTTCTGAATGGACACATTTTAATTAGTAATTCGTCTATATAAGTAAAGCAAAACAGTCGGCCTTTCGGTTATGCACCTTTTGCAATGTCCCGCTGCTCCTGTTGTCTATGTGACCCTCGGGCAAGCTCACTCCTGCTGAAGAGATGTCGCTCCGAAACAACAAGAAACCTTCTTTTATCGCTGATGCTCAAGCTTTGTAACACAAGGGATACTGAAGGCAACAGGCATGTCCTCTTCCTGCAGGTATGGTCTTTTTGGTATCTGGTGAGGCCAAACATTTTGTGCATTGAACAGCCGTTTAGTGTCCATGTGGTGTGACCGACTACCGTCCCTTCGAGAGAGTAAGGCACGACTCTTTAGGTTTAAGCTGAATACACTGAATACCATTTAGCTTTTTTGTTGTTTCACTCCTCTTCATCAACTAGTTCCCCATTTGGTCCCTAATTATCCCCCGTGCCCCTCTGTAATGTGTCGTGGGGTTTAGGTGTGTGCTCTGTGCTGGTTAGGTCCGTTTCTCCGTGTAGGTTGGTTCTTGAGGTTCGTTTGTTCCCTTCCCCCCTCTGCGCTGTTTTGTCCGTTGGCCCGTCGTTGGTGTCCGCTTTTTTCTTCCTCTTGCCTTTCAGGGTTTACCCGGCTTCGGCCGGGTGGGTGTGTGTGTAAAACATCTGAGCAGATGTAAAATTTCTACTCTTGCAGGGGGCCCATGGGCACTTGGATGGCATGGGACAACGAAGACCCATCCAAGTTGCTGTGCAAACGTACCTGCCGGGGCTAAGCCGAGAACCCCTCCATGAAAAGTCTTTGCATGTTATGGGATTCAGTTCCCGACGGCTACAATTATCCAGTTCTTGTCTACTGTGTGTGTGTGAAACGTCTGTATAGACGTAAAACTTCATTTTCATGATCGGGTCTTGTACTTTCTTGCTTTAATGTGATGATTCAACAGGGAGGGGGGCATGCGGCCATCATGCAAACGCATGCCAACGAAGCTATGCATGATGGTGGAAGCCGGGGCTGATCACCCTGGTGTACCTGCAATTTCGTTTGTTTCCAATTTTGACAGACATGGCGCGGGGCCAAGCCAAGAACCCCGATCACCGTTTTTCATTTCAGCACGGTTGCCGCAATTTGAGATTATTTTCGATGCCATTTCAACCTTGGATTACCTGGCATTCTTCCAGACATGGCAAAGGGCTAAGCCAAAAACCCTATCGAGCCCATTTATCTATTTATTTGGGGACTTTGTCTGTGGTATTCTATTTTGGGGTCTACTTGAACCAGTTTCTGATCGTGATTGACTTTATCGGAATTCCTACATGTAAATGTATATCGTATACCGCTTCGAGGAGATCTACTTTAGGTCCTTTGTTCCTGTTTAATTGCATGTTATGGGATTCCGTTCCCAACGGATCACTACAATGATCCAGCTTTTCTAGTGTGATTTCCATGGTGGCCCCGACATGGTGCCATGGACCCACTTGAAGGAACCTTTCTTAAGGTGAATGTCGACAGACTGGACGTCCGAATTTACATAATATTTAATTTAGTATATCGTTTACGTAATGTGCAACAGTTGGCCTTGCTGTTACCAGCCCTTTCGTCTCGCTGTTCCTGCCGTCTTGCGATACCTGGGATTTTTTTCTCCAGTTCTCCAGTGAAGTCGTGCCGAACTACCACAAACTTCCGTTTTGGCCACTGCTCAAGCTGTTCGCAAAGCAACATGTTCACGAGGCAACAGGCACCTGCAGGTGTGGTATTCTTTGATATCTGGTGAAGTTAACCATAGTGTGCACCTAATTCAGCTGAACCTGAACAGCCGTTTAATGCCCATGTGGCTTGATCGACAACGGTCCCGTTTGAGGGCAAAACGCGCGAATTTCTAGGGTAGAACGGTAGAACTGAATCCCATCAATCTGTGAAAATAAATTTGTGTCCGCGCTTGCCGCTCGCCTATTTCCATCGATGTGGTCCTGGCCCAATACTACTCCACCATGGACAGCATCCACGAGTCCGACCTCTACAGCGCCACCGCACACAGCCCCATCACCTTGGACCCCAACGCAACTTCTACCACCACACAGTCAACCTTTCACCAGTCCATTGCCACCTTCTGCAACCGACACCGACGACTACCATCTCACATGGTCCTCCAAGAACATACTTTTGGACAACCTTCTGATCTATCCCTTCATTGGACGAACCGACAACCTACACCAGCTCCCACTTTCCCTCCACATCCTGTACCTGTACTACCAGTAGTACCGCACAAGGCGGTGGCGGAAGTTTCAGAACAGGAAACCTATAGGAGACGTTGGTTGTTGTGAATCAGGGATGGCAGAGCGAAGCCACTGATTGACCGAAAGGTGGTTGGAGTTGTGTTTGCTGGAGTGGTTGCAATGGTTGCAGTGGTCACCTCACCCACAACTGCTGGATGTAGTGTGATGTACTGCAACTGTAGTTGTAGTTGTAGCGTAGTGGAGTTGTAGTTGTGGTGTAATGTAATTAGTGTAGTGTAGTTGCAGTCATATAGTTGTAGTTGTAGTTGCTGTGTAGTTGTAGTTGTTGTGTAGTTGTAGTTGTTGTAGTTGTAGTTGTAGTACTAGTTGTTGTTGTTGTTGTTGTAGTTGTAGTTGTTGTGTAGTTGTAGTTGTTGTGGAGTGTAGTTGTGGTTGTTGTAGTTGTTGTAGTTGTAGTTGTAGTAGTTGTAGTTGTAGTTGTTGTAGTAGTTGTTGTTGTAGCTGTAGTTGTTGTAGTTGTAGTTCTAGTTGTAGTTGTTGTGTAGCTGTAGTTGTAGTTGTAGTTGTAGTAGTAGTAGTAGTTGTTGTTGTTGTTGTTGCTGTTGTTGTTGTAGTTGTAGTTGTAGTTGTTGTAGTTGTAGCTGTAGTTGTTGTAGTTGTAGTTCTAGTTGTAGTTGTTGTGTAGTTGTAGTTGTAGTTGTAGTTGTCGTAGTTGTAGTTGTAGTGGTTGTTGTTGCTGTTGCTGTTGTTGTTGTTGTTGTTGAAGTTAGGGTAGTTAAGTTAGTTAAGTTAGGCAAGTTAGTTAAGTTAATCAGTGTCTACTTTTTCGACATCTTAACGTCAAAAAAGGCTCAAAACCGTCAGTTTTTTTACACTTTTGACTTCGAAGTGTGCTTCGCGCCACAACGGCGTGCACTTTTTCGACATCTCAACTTCCAAAAGTGGTCCGAGCATGTGGTGTTTTGTACATTTTGACTTCGGAATGTGCTTCGCGCCACAACGGCGTGCACTTTTTCGACATCTCAACTTCCAAAAGTGGTCCGAGACCGCCAGTTTTTAACACTTTTGACTTGGAAATGTGCTTCGCGCCACAACGGCATGCACTTTTTCGACATCTCAACTTCCAAAAGCGGTCCGAAGCTGAGGTGTTTTGTACATTTTGACTTGGAAATGTGCTTCGCGCCACAACGGCGTACACTTTTTCGACATCGCAACTTCCAAAAGTCGTCCGACGCTGAGGTGTTTTGTACATTTTGACTTGAAAATGTGCTTCGCGCCACAACGGCGCGCGCTTTTTCGACATCTCAACTTCCAAAAGCGGTCCGGACCTGAGGTGTTTTGTACCTTTTGACTTGGAAATGTGCTTCGCGCCACAACGGCGTGCAATTTTTCATCGCTCCTGTGACCAGCTGGCTCCGCACCCGCCGCTTTAGCGAGCCTACTTTTCGACCCTCCTGAGCCACGAATCATTGGAAAAACACAGTGTTTCGCGACTTTCCTACCTTTTCGCGCATCTGTATCTTCTTTCTTCTGACTCTTTCTCTTCTCATCTTCTCTCTTCTAATCTTCCTCTTCTCTCTGCCTCTCCACTACTCTGCTTTTCATCTGTCCATATTGTCGGAAGTTTGACTTCTAAACTTCCTTCGACCACACCCACGACACCACAATCCGTGCCTCCTCCGGACCTCTGGAACCAAGCTTCACTCCCCAGTCTTTGACTTCTACACCTTCTTACATCACTTCACATCCAGTACCACCTACTGGACCTATCCAATATGTTCATCCTGGAGTATGTGCAGGCATTCCTCATCAAGTTCCACCTCAGCCAACATCAACAACACCGCCAAGTACCCATATGGCTCCACAACAGACACAACCTCCTTCACCCAAACCTACGGCAAGGAAAGCTGCTCCGGAAAAACCACCACCACTACATCGAGCACTCCACCGAATGACTGCACCTGATTGAGAACCGCATCCAACGTCAAGTCAACTCCCGCATGGACCAATTTGAGACCAGCACCGGTCACTAAGACCAGCCACACTGCCAGCTCCACCACCTATACCTCCTCCACAACCCACTCATCCACAACTGCCCCTGGCCACCCAGAAAGTCCTCAAGACCCACCACCAACGGCTCCGCTGACACACCCTCATCAACGTCCTACCAGGTCACCTCCACCATCCTCGCGATCCCGACCCCGACGATCTCGCCGACGATCCAGAACCCGCTCCACCTCGCCGCCATCAGCAATTTCGAGAGCCTCTACGACAGCGATCCACACCTCACCACCCCAAAGCCCGTCGCACTCCATCACCTTGTCATCCCCGATCACCTCCCCGGGCACATCCCCGACGTCCTCGCGAACAACCTGACCGTCCACCTGTGAAGATTCGCAGACGTTCCAGACACCGTCAACCGATTACACTTCGGCCCCGGTTACCTGACCACCATGATTCCAATCCATTGTGGAACACATCTCCTTACACCTCCGACCGTGACGAATTTTGGTGGAAATGGCAGCCTGCCCAACCAGTGTCACCCAAACAAGGGCCATCCGACCCACCACCGCCACCCCCCTCGGGTGGTGTTACAGAACGTCTTGCCGCAGGCTCGATCCACCGATGATAGTGGTCAGGAAGAAGGACAAACAATTGCCATTGGAGACTTTGAGAAATCAACTAGCTGGCTCACTGACTACAAGGATGCCGGCAGAGATCCAGATCGTATAACATGTGTCAACGAATTTCCACCTTATCAAAGTACCAATCAAAACCAACATGACACAAGCTGAAAATCGAACGCACAAAGAATTTGTGGACGCAATGTTCCATCAACTCTCACTTCCATACATCACATCAATCACATCCACCAAACAAACTGTATACGTCAAGGCTCGCTGTGTTTTCACGTTTTTGGGGGTCCGGGGCCGGGAAAAAAGATGCTAAAATTATAAGATGCTTTTGGAAGTCGGTTTTGGGCCGTTTTTGAGCAATTGTTTGACAATTTTTTGCTGCGCTCGGAAAGCAAAAACACTGTAAAATACAGTGTTTTAACTCTTTTCGCATATAGAAACTACATCTTGCAACATGGTGAAAACTGCATAAATACCAGCGTTTTTGCTAGGCACTGGCAAAAAATATTGTACATACTGTGATTTTTGCTACCGGAGGCAAAAAACATTGTAAATACCGTGGCTTCGGACTTCCGAGGCGCAAAAAAACATCGGTATTTACGGTGTTTTTTTGCTCCGAGGGTTTCAGCGCCTATTTGACGATTTTTAGAGGTCCACAAAAAAAAAGCGACAAAAAGAACAAAAAGATGTGTGGTAAGATGGTTACAAGCTGCGGTATAACAAGATATGACAAGAACATCACACTGTGCTCCGCACCTGCGCGCACGCGCAGAGCACATGAACAACACCAACGCTCACACTACTATACATAACCCTTGTGACATCGCCCATGTGCGAAGCTCTACTATATATATATACATATACATACACACATATAGTACACACACATATTAATATATATATATATATAGCACATGCTTGCTTATTGGTTTCACGTTTGCAAGTTTTGGAAACGGATCGCTAACATTCTCCTTAGGTTGGAGGGCGTTTCCTTGGAATGAACTAGAGTTTGGCCCGTTTGGCTTTCCAAGTGGATAACATAAAAGCTTGGCTCGCCGCAAAGTTCTCGTCCATAAAACTCTGAACATCCATAAACTTGGACATACTCCCTACTCAAAGAGATGTAGGCTTGGCTTGACATGTGATTTTCAGATAGAAAGAGCATCAACATTTATCAAAAAACCATAGTTCATTACTAATTCATTACAAGGCACGGATTCTCGCCCTCTCGTACTGGCGTATTCAATTCTTCCAGCATTGCTTGACGCGGTTCTTTTCTCATCAAAGTGTATACAATGAGTGCATTGTCTTGCCGTGCTCGCTTTGCCACTTCTTGTATTTCACCCTTGTACCTGATGTAAGGAAAACTTGTAATGCTGACAGTATCGCAGTTCTTGGTCTCTTGGTTCTCGAATTGCTTCAGTGCCAAGTTGACTGCTCCACCTGCAGAGTAGCCAGATCCATCAGAGACTACAAACACGGACGCCGGTTCCCTGTCCAGTATCTCTGGCAACTGACATTCACCCCCTTCAATTTCTTCCTCTAGTCGGTCAATGATGTCAAAGAAATCTGTCCGTCTCAGCCGCCAAAGTGCGGCTGTTTCTTCACCACGAACACACACATCCTCCATGCAGGTTCGATCATAGAATAGCCCCAGCTCTCCGATGTAGGAACCCGGTCCAAGAGCAGTAGCTTCAAATGCCTCCTCCTTTGAACAGCTACTCTGAGAAATCCTGATATAATATATGAAATGATGTAGTATAACTGTGACGACATCTGTAATGTCAAATGATAGATGATACATGATATATACATAATATACATAATATGTATATAAGATATACATAATATAATATATATAACATAATAATAACAACAATAATAATGATAATGATAATAACAATAATAATACTAGTGGTGGTAATAATAATAATAATAATATATATATATATAATTATGTGTGCCATGTGTGCAACCACGATGATGATGTGGGGCAATGTGATGAGTGATGTGCAGTAATTTGACAGGATGTGATGCTGTAGCTGATGCAAATCAAACTTGCAAGAAAAGGTGCAGCAAATTTAAGGGCCAAAGACTTCGAACATCCTCCTAGATACACAGGTCCAAAGCATTTGCAATGAAGAACAAACATATATAGCATATAGAGATATATAGAGTACTCATGAGACCTGAAGGGAAGTTCAATTTTTGTTTTGGATGGTGTCAAAACAAACTGATCATGTTTGTAATTTTTGCTTGAACACCTGTTGATGGAACCTTCTAAGGATTGGTAATACCATGTCGTCTCGCACCAATCTGGGAACAACGGGGGAGCCTGCTTAACACTATGTTTGCTTTACATGAAGTATGTCTGATTCACCATTAAGGGCTGAAGGGTTTCAAAAGCGCACGCCTTGGAATTGAATGAAATTGCAATGAACATCATCACAATTGACAAGTGTATGCAATATTATACAATTGTGATGGTCACTTGTGATGGTTTGTGATGAACAGGCTCTATCAGTTTGGTCAGGTCGGTGGAATCTTCTCAACCATTCTCAACCATTGTCACCGCCCAGGCCGCACCCGGGCAACACAAGTCCTCTTCCCCTTGTCTCAACGGCTTTACCACACTCAGTTCTCCAGATTCGACGACATAAACAGCATCCACAGGTTCACCCTTGCGGAAGATGTGCTCGCCAGGCTTCAACTCCATCCTAGTCATTTTATCCAAGATTTGCTGCAAAGAATCTTCGGGCAAGGCCTGCAGGACTGGCATCGTACGGTTTTCCCTCAGGCATTGTCTAATTGCCTCCCGCGCATCTCGGATACTCTTCCTGCACACCTTCGGTCGGGACTTGGAAAAGACCTTTGCAGTAAATAGAAAAACTGGAAGTGAGCGAAGTGATGAAAGTGAACTAAGTGAACTAAGTCCACTAAGTGAACAAGCTCGAAAGCGCTTCCAGCTTGGTCTTCTTTGGATGCGGTCTGGAGTGCAACTAACTTGACGTGGCAGGTGTCTCTGTGCCAGAGTCATACTGTTGGCAGCAACATACGAATGCAAATCCATGGCCACGTGCTCACTGGGTTTCCCAAAAATTCAACTGATCTGAGCTGCAAGGCATGAAATCGCATGAAACCAACCGAAAACATCCCAAACCAAATATATATATATATGTTGGCATAGACTGGTTTATCAAATGGATTTGACTCCCCCATGCCAGCGAGAATTGTTTGCAATGCTCTCAGGCTCTCAGGATCTTTCGGGATTTTCTGTGGAATCCATGTGACCAGAAGGCTTGCAGAGACTTGCAATTTCGGGTGAATGACAGATGGTTTGCTGTCTCTGGTGCGCGCGCTTGGACAAACTATAGAAAAGCAATCGGTATCATTTGATTGTGTAATATTTCCATCTTGCGGACATTAAGGATGTGCACATGTGGAGCCAAACACTGAAGGATCACTCGTGAAGGGTCACTCTCCATCTTCTTGCTGGCTCAAGGCCGATTCTAATCCTTGACTCGAAACGTCCAAGATCTTCGTTTTTCCCAAGGATGGAGACACCATGAGACACCTGGCTGGACCAAGCACAGTCTTCCATACACAACTCAGCACAAGCACAGTTTTCTCAACACTTCCTCCACAAAGGCCATCCAAACTGTTGAAGACTTCTTGCTGGTTTCCCGTACAGCCAATTTAGGATGCTCTACTAAAAAGAAGATAAAAAAGAACACAGGCCAAGCCAGGTAAAGGCATCACAGGATGATTCTAATGAGAGCAAATGCAACCTGGAGTTCAAGCGGTTTAAACTTGGTTGTGATGTATCCCAAAATACCATATGTGCCATGGTCAAAACATAGTATGGGTGGTATGGTCATCCATCCCATGATGGGAATCCCTACTATGGGCATGTTAATCCCTATATTATATAATGGATTGATGACCATCCCCAATATGGGTATGATAATCGAATTGATGACCATGGCACATGTCAACACGGTGTAGTGACAGTGTAACAGAAACCCCAGGAACATACCCAGAAAGAAGGCACGCCATAAAGCAGTGATCAAAGGGTGGTCCGTGGAAAGAGTCACAGTATCACCAAATGCAGCCAGCAACAAAGGATGTCAAGCGCAGTTTTGGTCCGAATTCCCTTGTGGGGAGCGTTCTTGTTGGGGGGACGCCGCATCCCATCCCAATACGCAGGCGATCGTCACAATACAATACAAAACCACACAAATCAAAAATGGAACGCGCATACTGTCCATGAGAAGCTGTGACTGCGCGGCAATCTTGTCACAAACATCCATTTAGATACCAAGCATACATGGAAGAATTCATTTAGTCTCTTCGTTGCAAGACTGCTGGATGTCATGAATGTATGCAAAGGAAACCTTCACAGACTTACTCGGAAATAAGGGAACAGTGTGATGGTCAATCTGCAAGCGTCAGGCTTGACAAGAGTGACATATTTGACAATCTCATGGCTGAATGTGAGACTTGTTGGTTGTCTTGCGCTCTTTCCCTCTCTTGTTTCTGTGCGTTTTTTTGCTGATGATCAAAGGTCCTTGAAGGTCCTTTCCAGTCAGGCTCGAATCTGGAAGCCTTCAAATGCGTTAAGTTCTCACAGTCGGCAGCCATGTTCCTTAAGAAATGACTCTACTTTCGATCGGGTTTCCTCTGGGTCAATCTTCTCTAGGGATAAAAACACTTTGGGTTGTGTCAACGGAGAAGAAACTGTACCCAAGAAAACCAATGTTGGAATTGCAGTGACTCCGGTGTGCTCTCCCCAGAGGTCAGACCTCAACGGGTGCTGTGGATCCTTCCATTCTTCTCGTGTCTTGCCAGCAATACATCGCAAAAGGGAGGCATCAGAGCGAAACCCAGTGGCAAAAATATCGTTGATGACTGGAAGAGCGCTGACACAATCTGGGCACCATGGGGCTGTAAAAAAAAAATGAACATTGGCATATCACGTGGCAGTGCTTTCCGATGATGACTTAAAGTATCGTCCAGGTTTTTGAAGTAGCAGCTGTAGCGGACTGGTGGACGCATGATCAATGATCGCATAAAGTCACCCAACCGCAAGGAGGCACCACGGTCATGTGAAGTCGCCCATATTCGTAAAAAGTTTAAAAAAATCCAGCAGAGCACCATAGAGACACCACTTTCACGTGGATCCCCAAATTATGCTCAAATTCCAGGATTTCATGCGGCAACTCATGTGGAGCACTTTTTGCGGTTGTTTCAAACGTTTTGAGGTGCAAATCACAAGTAAGGGGACACCGTTTCCGCACGACTTCACACAAGCACGCACGACTTAACCCAAGCACCTAGTCAAAGGAAGTTGGGAAGCAATACTTCCGTGTTGCGGACAAATAGAATTGTGAGACTTGACATTGATGAAGGGCGGTGTGAGACTTGACATCACAAAACAATACAACAATACAACACAAAAGAATAATAGGCTATGACAAGGGCGGTGTGAGACTTGACATCACATAACAATACATCACAAAAGAATGATAGGCTATGACACAGGGTGGTGACGAAGGGCAGTGGTGACCTAGGGCCTAGGGAAATGGTGACGAATGGAAATGGTGACGAAGGGAAGTGGTGACGAAGGGAGTGTGGTGACTTTAGGAAGCGGTGACGAAGGGAGTGGACTTTGGGAAGTGGTGACGAATCTCTGGTTGCAGATCGCATTGGAATGGCTGCATGAATCTTGCATGCTCTGTGTTGCGGGGAGGAAGGCGGAGCACCAAACCTTGTGTTTCGCCGTGTAGAGTGGCTGCAGCCGGCGATGAAAGGTACCTCGTGTGTGCGGCGGTTGCGGCTGCGGTCGTTTTGGTTCCTCCTCTGTGTTCTGCAACGAGTGGTTGTTCCTGTGTGCGTAGTTCTATGCGTTTCTTGAATCGGTGGTTGCAGATCGCTGTGGAATGGCTGCATGAATGTTGCATGGGCTATGTTTTGGGGAGGAAGCCGGAGCACGAAACCTTGTGTTTTTCCGCGTAGAGTGGCTGCAGCCGGCGATGAAAGGTACCTCGTGTGTGCGGCGGTTGCGGCTGCGGTCGTTTTGGTTCCTCCTCTGTGTTCTGCAACGAGTGGTTGTTCCTGTGTGCGTAGTTCTATGCGTTTCTTGAATCGGTGGTTGCAGATCGCTGTGGAATGGCTGCATGAATGTTGCATGGGCTATGTTTTGGGGAGGAAGCCGGAGCACGAAACCTTGTGTTTTTCCGTGTAGAGTGGCTGCAGCCGGCGATGAAAGGTACCTCGTGTGTGCGGCGGTTGCGGCTGCGGTCGTTTTGGTTCCTCCTCTGTGTTCTGCAACAAGTGGTTGTTCCTGTGTGCGTAGTTCTTTGCGTTTCTTGAATCTGTGGTTGCAGATCGCATTGTGGAATGGCTGCATGATTGTCGTCATCTGATGCTGCCACTTGTGTAGACACGTGCAGGTTTGCGACGTGATGCTGCAAAACGCATTGTAATGGCTGCGTCAAGGTTGCTTGGCACCGCAGCTGCGTGCGTAATGCTATTCTCTTTTGCAGCTGGACATCGTAAATCGTATTGGAGTGGCTGCATCAAGGCTGCGATAGTGATTTGTCAGCAGATTTTCTCAATTTTGGCGCTAGTAATTTTCCTTTTAAAAGTCCTTTTGCAAAGTGCTTCAAAAGTGTCTTTTTTTCGCTTTGGCGTCGAGATCCATCCGGTTTTGGAGCTGCAATTTCCGACGCCGTTGCGCGTAGTTCTATTGTGTTTGCAACTCAGTCTCTGCAGGTCGCATTGTTGCGCGTAGTTCTGTTGCGCCGCTGCGCTTCTGTAAAAGTTTGCTGTGTGTAAAAGCTTTGTGTGTAAAGGCTGCTGTGTGTAAATGATCCTCTGTGTCAATGCTTCTCTGTGTTAGGGCTTCTCTGTGTGAAAGCTTGCTGCGTGTAAAAGCTTCTGTGTGCAAAAGCTTTTCTCTGTAAAAGTTTGCTGTGTGCAAAAGCTTCTCTGTGTGTAAACACTTGCCATGCATAAAAGCACTCTGTGTAAAAGTGTTCTGTGTGTAAACGCTTGCTGTGTGTAAAAGCTTGCTGTGTGTAAAAGCTTCTCTGTGTAAAAGCTCGTTGTGTGTCAAAACTTCTCTGTGTAAAAGCTTCTCTGTTTAAAAAGCTTGCTGTGTGTAAAGCTTCTCTGCAAAAGAACTTGCTGTGTGTAAAAGCTTTCTTTGTGCAAGCTTTGTGGTGCAAAGTAGTACTGGGACGTACAAAGTAGTACTGGGACGTACTTTGTGCAAGGTTTGTAGTACAAAGTAGTACTGGAACGTGCTTTGTGCAAGCTTTGTAGTACAAAGTAGTACTGGGACGTGCTTTGTGCAAGCTTTGTAGTACAAAGTAGTACTGGGTGCAAGCTTTGTAGTACAAAGTAGTACTGGGAAGTGCTTTGTGCAAGCTTTGTAGCACAAAGTAGTACTGGGAAGTGCTTTGTGCAAGCTTTGTAGTAGAAAGTAGTACTGGGAAGTGCTTTGTGCAAGCTTTGTAGTACAAAGTAGTACCGGAAAGTACTCTGCGCAAGCTTTGTGGTAGGAAGTAGTACTCGGACGTGCAGAAGAGCCGAGATGAGTTGAGACTAGTTTCGATGAGATGTGAAAGGCTGGGCTGTGCTGAGATGACATGGAAGATAACCAAGAAGAACTTAGCCGACATATGAGAAGACATGAAATGAGATGAGAAGAGCTCAGATGAGATGAGTTGAGATGAAGTGCAAGTGTGAAGTGTGGAGGGCGGGGAGTGAAGAGTGCACTGTCAAGTGTGAAGAAAGTGTTCGCTTGGAGTTGCATTGCGCCGGGGTCGCGGCGCAGGCCATGTTCTTGGACAATAACACTGCAACAGCTTCGCACAAAGCACGCGCGCACGGGCCCGGCTGGCGCACGGCGCATGCAAGTTCTATAGATGAGAAAGGTCTTATACGGTCTTATAGTATATGCCTAAGGCAACTTCCGCCCCGCCGCATGCGGGTACTACTGGTATGAGCATGTATATCATATGATGCTATATAGAATTATTGAATCACATTAAATGTAAGATGTCAAAATGATCTCAAATGCATTTGGTGTTGGATATACGCCAGT